AAACAAACTGGAAGTTTGAGACTGTCGTTCTAAGTCTTTAGATCATACATGTAATGAGAAGAACATGCAGAAGACAATAATCTATAGATAATAGTCTAAATAATATGATCCGCAATCGAGAGAATAAAGTTATGCGCTTTATTCTTATTAAGATTGTTATGTTGTCTGCGTTCTTACGGAGACGGGCTTGTCTTGGTCATCGAATGTGAGACTCCATGAGTAGAGACATTAATATAGTTTCTAGTGGTAGAATCTATATTAGATGGACCAAAGTTGAATTGTTTTAATTAATAATTCCGTTTGAATAAACACAATTCACTTTTGACAAATTATATGTGGGCCATCTTAATTCTGAGATGAATAATAAACCCGTATACTTGACTTGTATCCTTTGATGTACCAAATAGAGACATCCTAACACTATAGAAATGTACGCTTACTGGTATGTTAAGGATATGACTCTTGTGTGAATAGATTTATTATTCAAGATAGAGAATCTATTGACTCTTATAAAGAGTCAATGATATCCTTTTATGACATTATCCGTGGATTGGAAAAGTACGAGCGCTTGGCTTTTAGACTACTTTATGTTATCTAATAATTTACTATTTGTATTGGTACGAATACTAGTTTTTGATGCAGTAGTAATATAACATAAGATAAATATAATCCGAAAGATAAAACAGAACTTAGCCTTAAGTCGATTGTGAATATCTTATGAGAATGACACACTAATATAATGAACGACGATAGTTATTCAGAGCTTTGTAAATATATTATATGAATCAAGAGTGTAGCTCTAGGCTTTTAGTTGAATAGTACTAGAGTTTATAATAATGAGATAGACTTGTTGGTTCACACGTACTGTTGTGATTATAGGAGCTTGATTTATATATGTCTACGGGTCTCTTTGCTAGCTCACATAATTTCTTATAACGATACGACGTATTTCCTACATATTGGTAACTTGTGTTATTTTCGTAAAAAGGATCAAAATCAATGTGAGATCAATTGTTAATTAATGAGTATTTATCGGGTGAATTAATTGATAAATTAATTTTCGATAAATTAGTTGAATTATCATTTTAAGTTTTATTTAATATGGAAAGACTATTACGTGACTGTTTTGATCAAGTAACTTTTATATTTAGTTATTTGAATTAAAACTAAGGCTCTGTGCAAGTTTCCCGTATTAAATGAACTTGCAAAACAAGTTTCTAGAATAGTGACTAGTCGACCGGTGGTAACGCGTAGAGACGCGCTGACGTGGCAAAACTGAATCTGTACGCGTGATTGACTTTGGGAAACCTAATTATTGAGGGAATGTGATTTCCTAAACTCTATAAATAGCACAGTAAGTTTCATTATTTATTGGATCACTTGAGTGACTTTTTAGGGGCTATTGGTAAGGGTTCTTGAGAGGAAAAATTAGTTAAATCTCAAGATCAATTTTTCCTTTAGTTCTCTTGTGGTTGGAAGGAGTTTAAGAATACTAAGGGAAGATTGAACGACGCGTATCCACTCACACTCCGATCGTGGAAATGAGAATAACAAAAAAGACCAGTTGGTTGAGGCTTTTCCAATTGCTGTTTGAAACGTTTTGATCTGTCAGACGTGTTATTTCTATAATCTATAAAAAGTATGATTTAGATATTTAATATTTATATTGTATAGTATCATAAATATATTTTTATTTGACTTTGACATTGATTAAAAATTTTAAAATTCCGCGCTCTTTTTCCAACATTTCCAGCAACGACCGTGCAGCCACAGTCTCCCAGATTTGCACGAGCTCGTCGTTGAACACCCGTTCCTCCAACTCGTCATTTGAACCTGTTCATTCGCTCGCGCCTGGTAATGTGCAATGAATGAAACCCATAAGTTGCTGGTTTTTTTTTTTCCTTTTTTTTTTCTATTATATTTTGATTCAAATTTGATTTATTTTTTCTCTTAATAGTTATCTTTTGAAGTCAATTTGTATTAATTTTGTGATCAATAAACAAATTTGACTTAAAAATAGAATAAAATGACCGCCAGTGTCCTTTTTGCCTATTCATGTGCTTCTCACGTGATTAAATTCATCCAAGTTTTAACAGCCGTTTTCAATTGGACTATTAATGCTACAGATTTGTAAGTTAAGGGGCTGATTACCAAAACTTTTAGTTTATCGACCAATTTACTAAATACGTAAAGTCGACGGGGTCTCATGCAAAAAAGCCTTAAAAAAAATTTGATGGCAAGTATTTACGCACTTCCAATTATGTACAACGAATAAAAAAAAGCCCAAAAAGATATTTTTTCAATTTCCCTTTTAAAAATGTGTCAAACTTATTATTTCATAACAAATTAAGAACTTAAATTGTGTATATAAGGAAAAAATACTCTAACAAAAAAATTGAATTTAAATTTTTATGAGACAAAACACTATAGTAATAGAACTTTTGCTGTGACTTGAGTTGTGAAAAAACAAGACCTTAATTCTCAATATACTTATTTTGCTTTTTCTATACCAAATTAAAAAACATATATTTTTAAAATAGTTTTTTAAAAATTAAAAATCCTTAATAAGTATGCTATTCTAAATTTCATTCAAATATTTTTAATAATTATCAACATATTTAAAAATGACAATAATAAATATTAGTGGATGAATCATTTTCTCCTTGAATAAAAGTAATTTATTTTAAGAACTTAAAATTTAAAATTTATTTTTTTTATATTATGAATGACAGTAAAAATAGAAATAAAACTAACTATAAACATGTGTGATAAAGTATGTCTATTTTCATTATTCTATATTTCTATAATAATTTTATACATAGTTTACTATATATCTAAAAATTTTTACTTATGGTACTTACAGTAGTTTTGTAAAAATATTTACCAAACAAGGCAACTTATTACTTACAACACAACAAGAACAAAATTTTCAACAGCACAGTTGCTAAACTAGCCCATTGTTGTATTTATTTTAGATTTTATGTACATCACCGTCTTAAACCGCTGTCTTTTCTTTCAATGGTCTAAATTTCACACCCTACTGGTAGAAAGAAAAGTAAGCGCTCCTACCATACACATTCTTAAAAATAAAGTTAATGACAAATTGTACATGCACATTTGGTTTATTCGTAAAAAAATTAACGAATTGAAACAAGAACTCTTAGAATTAGGCTCTTATAGAATTTTTTTAAGACCAATTTTTAACACATTATTTGACCGACTATGATTTTTCTTCTCTTTCAAAGGAAATACTTTTTTTTTATTAATTTGTACTTTCTTTTTAATGAAGTTTAAAGAATAGTTTTGAATTTTTTATTTCATATGTTAAATACACAATAAATTAATTAAAAGCGGTAAAAATATAATATTACTTTTTCTACATAAATTTTTCAATCGGTAAAAAAATCTGATATGGGTAAACTGTAAACATCTCCAATGACGAATGGATTGAAAAAAAAAAAAAACCCAAACGGATAGCTTTACTTTCCCTTTTAAATATGGGTAAACAAGGTACCTTACTACAACGGACAAAAAACATTTTAAGCGCAATCTCTCTCTCTCTCTTCCTTCCCCCAAATTCTCGTCGGCTGCGGTGTTGTGGGCGGCGTTGCCGAGTAGAAAAAGACAAATGAATGAGAAAGTACACAAAAATGGAAGGAATGTCCCAAGGTTTTTCACTTGTAACGGCATTTCCTGCTTCTGACTCTTGAATCGGAGGTGTATCCTTTCTAAATCTCTCTCTCTACTTTCGCCCAATTATGATTCGTGATTCTGTTTTCTGGAGTTTTACACATTATTTTGTGCTTGATTCTGTTTAATTTTGATTCAAAAGTTCAATTTCAGTTCTTTTGGGGAATTTCATGCCTTTCTCTTACATCTTTTTCACACTATCATTCGTGTGTTTTGAGAAACACATCGATAGGCTTTTCATGTTCGATAAGGTATTCTTTTGGATTCAAAAGCCATTTTGTTTGATTTATGTAATTTTTTGTCCTTAAACATAAGTTATTTTAAGGACAAAAAATCTTGGTAATTGTTCTCTTTCCATTCTTCATCTTAGGAGTATTTTTCTTTTTTCCTTTCTAACATTCTGTTTTCTCACCCCAAAGAATATCAATAATAAGTGTAAGGTTTGTTATCTTGCTGATGGACAACGTTTCAAGTTACTGCTTCGGGCTAATGATTATCTTAATTCTACTTGTCTAATATGCAGTTTAAACCTTGACTGATGGCTGGCACTGAAAGTTGTGTTTTAACATTGGGTGAATATGATTGGCCGTAGGACTTATGTTAAAATGTTGAGTGATCTATTTATTTTAAAATTAAAACTTCCCCTTGGATTTTCCCCTGTTGCGAAAGAACCTGCCCAAGCTTTTTCGCCCGTAACGCCATTCACTGCTTCTCACTCTTGAATCAAAGTTACAAGATTAAAATTTCTCTTTTTCTTTGTTTCTTTTTTCCCCAATTTGATTTGTGATTCTGTTTTCTGGAATTGTGAACACACACACACACATACATTTTGCGTGATTTTGTTTTGTTTTGTTTCCAAAGTCTTATAAGAGACGAAAATATTTAACTAGAAGTTTTCTCCATCGAAACTTATTTGTATTCAATCTTTTGGGGAAGTTCTTAGACAAATTTAGTTTCTTTCTCTTTTACGGGGAATGGGAAATGAGCCATCTCTTACGTCTCTCTCACATATCAATTGTGTTTTTGGGAATTGTATCGGTAGGGACCTTGGACAAGGTCTTGTTTTGGATTCAAACGCAATTTTGTTTTATGTGATTTCTTGTTCTTGAACATAAGTAGTTCTCTTTTGCCTTTTGTTCTAAATGTTTGTGTTATTAACTTATGCCTATTAAGTTTGTTCTTTTGTTGTTGTTGTTGTTGTTAATATTATTATTATTATTATTATGAAAGTCTTGAAAGTCTGTTAGTAACTATCTGGATAGTTTATATATGGTTCTAGTTTTCTGTTCCAGTTCAGTGTTAATGGTTGAGTTCCTGCTATTTGATTGCACGAACATTGAAACTTTGATGGTTCAAATTTCTAGTTTTTTTATGAAAATTCAGGACACTTAATTGCATAGACATGAATTTAAACATGCCTGTACTTGTACTCAGTAAAAGGAAGGTAAGTAGGTCCATTACAGGCCGGCTCTGGACCATAAGGATGTTTATGAGCAAGCACTCATTCCAGCAGTGAATGAGGTTTCAGAAGGCTTCAATCTATTTCAGCTATGGTCAAACGAGTACAGGGAAGACATATACGAATGGAGGGGAATGCAAAATATCAAAGGTGTTTCAATGGTTTATCTTATATTTAATATTATGTATATGCATTCTGATATCATTCACCAATCAATCGAAACTATTGCTTATCTGTAGCTGTATTAAAAGCAGATATTCGAATACTTGAGAACTAGATTTTAGAGTATAGTATTGAAAAGTTCACTTTTTTTGGTTCTCCTCACAGTCAGACCCACTCTTTTCTATTACAATTCACGTTAAGAAAGCAATGTTAGAAGTTGAAGATACATAAACACAAACACACAAAACTAGTTGCAATGAGTTTACTTTTATTTTGACATGTCTTAAAAGTTCTCACCTTGTAACTGTATAATCTATCATAGCCACAGTTTGATCAGCAGTTCATTGACTCAAGGAAACCTCGAGTAGTATCCTAGATTCTGCCCACAACTGCAAAGGCAAGGAATATCAAAATAATCCTGAGGTTTGTTATCTTGTTGACATACTTTGTTTTAAGTTACTTCTTCTTGCTAGTTGTCTAATATGTCATGTAAACCTTCACTAATGACTGGCACTAGAAGTTGTGTTTGAGCATTGGGTGAATGAGCAGCATTAAGCGATTTATTTTTTTTAGGACTTTGAATGTTGCTATGGAAATAGTTATTTATCTCAAAAAAAAAAGCAGTACATTTTTTTTTTTTTGAAAGCATAGTATTTAGTTTTTAGCTCTCTCTAAAATTTCAGATAGCTTTGGTTAGTAGCTCAAACGTTTCATTTTGATAATAGCTGAAATTATAAATTGTTTTGCGCTTGATTAAATTTAAATAGATGATTTTATAATTCTATGACGGATTCATCACTTGCTGTCATTACGTGCCGATGTTAGTCATAGGTCATGAAGAGCTTCTTGTAGCTAGCTAGTTTCTAGTGTGTTATTTGAGCAACAGTTAATTATATTCAATCTCTTGAGGAAATTCTTAACCAAATTTCAGTTCTTTTTCTTACATCTCTCTTACATTATAGTTCATGTTTTTGGGAAACATAGTGACAAGGGTTTTCATCCTCGATAGGATCATGTTTTGGATTCAAATGTGATAACTTGATTTAACTAAGTTTCCATTGTTAGTAATTTTGTTGGTTTTTGGTGTTTTATAGTGTTTTTATTATGTTTTGATTTCGTTTTGAAGGTTTTTAGTTCGAAGAAATAAATGGTTCAAACCAAGCATTTTTGGAGGCAAAAGAGCTACATTCTGGCTGCAGCCAGATATTTCCAGCTGCAGCCAGAATCTTTGAAAAATCCCGCTGCAGCGTCGTCAGGGAAGCTTAGGGTTTCTCGGATTTCCGTTGCAGCTGAATTAAACCCGCTGCAGCGGGTTAGCTGTTTTCACAGCCCCTGTTCGCTCAATCGGCTGCAGTTGAAAGAATCTCGCTGCAGCCGAATTTCCAAGTGCTCATTGCCTCGAATCTGGCTGCAGCCAAAAAGAACTGGCTGCAGCCGAATTTGCCAAAGATTCTGGTTGCAGCTGGAAACGTTGACATGCCGCCGCTGCAAGAATAGGAGGCGAGACACGTCTCGCCTCCCAGGTATGTTTTTCCAGCCTCCTTTGCGTTTTTATTGATTTATTTATACACATTGAGGACAATGTTGAGCTTAAGTTTGGGGGAAGGAATTCATTTCTTGGTGGTTGCATTTTGTGCATTTTGAATTTTCACTTGTTTGTCTCCTACTTGCTATCAATTGTTGATTTAGTTTTAGGTTTTATAATTATTTTAGTCAAGTAGTTTATCTTGTTTTCAATTTCATGTTCATTCCCGTTTATGTCTTTTATCATATTTCTCTTAAAAAAAATTCAATTCAAGTGAGGAATTCTCTTGTTTTATCTAGTTTGTGTTTTCATTTTTTAGGTTTTGTTTCTAAAAAAAAAGGTAATAAATGCTTGAGTTGAAAGAAATTGTTGGCAAACGGATTCAATGATAATATTGTGTTAAGAAATGCTCTTAGGTCTTTGAAAATGTTTTGACATCATTTGTCTGTGTGCTTGACTCTCTTGTTGGGTTAATTTGTTCTTGATTTTCCTTCACTTTTGAGCACTCACAACTTTAATCATGTAATCTTTTGAGCACTTGGAGACTATTTTTGTGATTATAGAGTTTTGCATCTAGATAGGAGTTCTAGAACTCGTCTTAGCTCTATTCGAGGCGACATCCCAAGTTTAGTTGCATTTGAGAGATGATCTAGGCATTTTTCTTGGACCGTTTGAGCCTTCCTTGCCTACCCCCCCCCCCCCCTTTTTTTTTTTTTTTTTTGAATTATCCATTGTTGTCCCATTTGAGCCTAATATACTTTTCTTTCTTCACCCACATTTGTGGTGCCTAACCTCCTAAAGAATCCACCATACACTTACCCATCACCTTAGGCATGCAATATATTCTTCGTTAAGTTGAGAGCTCTTTAGTGATTATTGAGCTAGGTTTCGAGATTGGTAGACTCTTGGGTGGTGTGGCTTATGTTATTTAGGGTGTGTTTGGAACTCGTTCCAAAATGATTTTATTTTTTGTATGAAAATGAAAACAAAAACGTTTTCATTTTCATTTTGGAATCGTTTCTAAAAATGCGCTTGGTAGTTTTATTCCGAGATTGTTTTCAGTTTTAAAAAAACTGAAATTGTGTTTGGTGGTTTAATTTTTAAAAACATGTAATAATATTTAAAATAATAATATATTAAATAAACATTATATACATGAAAACTACAGAGGAAATGGGAAGAAGAGTGGGGGGGTGGCCGTCGGGGAAAGAAAAATGGAAACTGAAAACGATCCTTAATCGTTTTCAGTTTTTGTAACGTTTTCAATTTTTGTTTTTAGGAAATGCGGTGCCAAACGCATTTCTGAGAGCATTTTCATCTTTTTGTTCTTGAAAAATGTGAAAAACATTTTTTGAAATGATTCCAAACAGGCACTAAATGATGGCGAAGAATAATCCTTTCAAGTTGTTTGGTAAGAAGGGGGAGTTAAAATGACGAAGGAATAGTAATTTATTTGATGTTCCTTATTCATCATTTGCTAACGATTTTTTGGAGTCTTTTCTAGCTTCTACTGATGAATAATACATGGATTATATTTTGTGGCCGAGTGCAGAGGGTCTTTTGAGAATAGGGATTGTGCTCCCTTTTAATTCACCTCTTAGTTTTCTGTCCATTCTTTTAGAATTCTTCCCCTTAAATACAGAGAAACTTACATAAGGGCCATTTAGTTTGCTAATTTGAGAAGAAAAATGGAAACTGAAAAATGCATTTCTGAGAGCATTTTCATTTTTTTGTTCTTGAAAAACGTTTTTGGAAATGATTCCAAACAGGCACTTAGTTTCGGTTCCTTTCATTTCAAAAAAAAAAAAAAAAATACAAGAATCAATAAGTTTGGGGGACTTTTGGGGAGGCAGACCAACAGAACCAAAAGAGGGAAATACAAGGTTTTTGGAGATCCTTCAATATGATTGGATTGGAGCTTGAAGATTGGGAGCTTGTTCTTCAACGAGTTTTATTTCTCTCGTCTCCTTTCTCTTTTATCTTTTAGAGCTTGTATTTTCCTTGATATTGCTTAGACCATGGATATGAGATATAGAACTGATTATGGTTTTTGTTTTGAGATTCATAATGTATATCTCTAGCTAAACTCTTTAAGCTAGGGGTTTGGATGTAGTTCTATCTTTTGTTATGCTTTGAAGATATTTGGTATTTGTTAACGAAATTCCATTTCAATTCATTTGTGTTTTTCTATTTTTATTGCTCTAATTTACAATATAATGAATTAGTGATATAGATGTGTGGATTTAGGTTCGGGAGAGTTACGTTCACATAATGGGATTTGAGAGACACAACCTAGAATTAGTTGAGTTTGGGGGGCCAATTGATTCGGGTAATCATAATAGGTTTGCTTAATGGGTGTTTATTAGGTTAAGTGAATAGGGATATTACTTAATCGACTTTACACACTATTTCACTCGGCACTCGGGAGAAGGAGCGAAATTACATTAGAAAACCTAGATTAGTGAATTGACTGGAACTAGTTAACAAACCTAAATATTGGAATTGCATAGCTTGAAAAAAAAAAAAAAAAAAAAAAAACCCCTAGCCGCTTTACCATTAGAGTTCCCTTCAATCCCTTGTTATTTTCAAATTCCATTTTTACTTGTTTATTATTTTATTTTTAAACGTTCTATTTTTCACCCCACAGTCGGTCACTCTCTTTTCCAACAACTCACATTTAAGAAGCAACACCACAGAGTAAAGAGTTAATCAAATGCGGAAAATTGAATCTTGTTTGAGTTGTTGGCTCTGAAAATACATGAAGCCCTGGTGCTCAAGGGGTAGAACATACATGAACACACAAACTCACAAAACTAGTTGCATGAGTTTACTTGTCCTTTAATACATCTTAAGAGTTCTCATCTTGTAACCGTTTAATAATCTGAATGTGTTTGATAGGGTTGTCCAAGAGAAGCTGGAGAGATTACTAAAAGCTTACTGACTTTAGGGAGGGTAACAAATGCAAGCTCACAAGGTTACTTGGAGGTAGAACCAAGACATGAATTTACAACCACATCGCTTGAGGAAACCTTGAGTTTGCCAGAATACGCACACGACAAATAAAATATCAAAAATAAGCCTAATATGCAATTTAATCCTGTATTAACTGGTGACACTGAAAGTTGTGTTTGAACATTGGGTGAATGCTTGGCGGAAAGACTTATGTTTAAACATTGAGTGATTTATTTATTTCAAAACTAAAATTTCACCTTGGCTTTTCCCCAGTTGCGTAAGAAGCTGCCCAAGCTTTTCAAATAATGCCCTTTACTGCTTCTCGCTCTTGAATCAGAGTTACATCCTTTCAAAATCTCTTCATTTTCTTTTATCTTTTTTTTTTTTTTTTTTGTTTTTCACCCAAGTTGATTTGTGGTTCTATTTTCTAGAATCATAAACCCGCGCGTACGCACACACGTATTTTGTGTGATTTTGTTTTGTTTTGGTTTCAAAATTTTTAGGAGAGGAAGAGATTTAATTAGAAGCATTCACCCTTGAAAACTGATTTGTATTCAATTTTTTGGGGAAATTCTAAGTTAAATTTAGTTTCTTTCTATTTTACAGGAAATGGAAATTGGTCATCTCTTACGTCTCTCTCACACATTAGTTGTGTTTTTGGGAAGCATTTTCATAGGGGTTTTCACCTTCGACAAGTTAAATTTAGTTCCTCGGCTTTTGTTCTTAATATCTGTGTTAATAACTTTTGCGTATTCAGTTTGTTATTTTTGAAAGTCTGTTATTATTGTATATTAGTATCAATATTATGTTATTTTTTTATTATTATGAAAGTTATGAAAGTATGTTAATTAGAACTATCTCGATAGTTTATATGTGATTCTAGTTTTTTTTTTTTTTTTCCAGATCTATGGTTCTAGTCTAGTGTTAATGGATGAGTTTCTGCCATTTCACTGCGCGAAGATTGAAACTTCGATGGTTCAAGTTATTAGTTTTGATATGAAAAACTAGTAAAATTAATTGCATATAAATGAATTTAATCTGGGTTCACATTTAAATATGCTTAATCTTTTATATTTCAACGAAGGTTTGTTTTGTTAGCATTAATTAACTTGTATGGTCATTTATTTTGTGGGGAAGGATGCTGGAATTTTGCTAATGATTTGCAGGTTTTTGTCCTCCTACTCAGGTCATACCAGCAAGGAATGAGGTTTCGAAGGTGTCAATTGTACTATCTTTGGTTATAGGCAAATGTGTACAAGGAAGACTTAAACGAATTAAGGGGAATGAAAAACATTAAAAGTGTCTCATTGGTTTATGATCTTATGCTTAATATTCACTATTGGTACTCCAGTATTATTCACTAATTATTGCTAGGGATATTAAAGCAGATATTTGATACCCTCAATAGCCAAAATGCTGAGCTCAATGTTAAAAGTTAACTTTTTCAGAGTTTCACAATGAGAAATGTCAAATTCGTAGCTACAATCTCTCTCTCTCTCCCCCTCTCCCTCCCTCTCTATTTTCACCCAATTATGATTCATGATTCTGTTTTCTGGAGTTGTAAACATTTTTGCTTTGTGTTAGGCCTCCTGTGACGTTAGTGTATTCTAGGAGGAGGGGCAGGAAGGGTATATTGCAGGAAGCAGGGGAAGGTAGTGGAATTAGGGAATAATTGCTGCTGAGTTGGCAAGTTAGTTACAAGTGGAGCAGAAGGGTATTTAGGCAGCAGGGTAGGATGTAAGGAGGGTGTCTGGGAATTGAGTATTTTCTGTTTCAGACCTTGGAGGCTGGGAACCTCGAATTCTCCCAATTCTATCTTTTCTTAGTCCATTTCTTTTAATTTCCATCTTTCCTGTAATTCTCTAAGGGTGGTGTTCTTCTCCTACGGAGGTCTTGAGGTTGAATCAATAAAGAGGATCTATCTGAATTTCTAGAGAATCAGTTTGTTTCTATTTGCGAATCGTTGAACTGTTCAGGAACGTAACATTTTGGTATCAGAGCGGTCGGTCCATGGCAGGTGCTTCCGACGATCAGCTACCGATCGAGGAGCTATCATGGCTCGAGCAAAGGATAGACTCGTTCCACGAGGCATTGCAGATCGTGGAGGCTATGATGGAGCCACTACCTAAACTCCAAGAGGATGTGGTCGAGATTGGGGTCCAGATGGGGGAGGTTCAAGGATCGGTACGGAGGCTGGAGAACCTGCTTCTCAGGCAGGCGGAGTTCTTCCAGCGGAACCCACAACCACCCCCCAGGGTACGATGCTGGCCCACAGCGTTTCCCTGACCTTCGCCGTCCCTCACCGAACGGCAGACCGGCGACGCCGCCCCCACCTCCCCGCCACGAGGAGCCCAGGCGATTCGAGAGGGATTACTGATGGGAGACCCCTCCACTACCAAGAGGATGAGCCGAGCATCGGGGAAGGCGGCCCGAGATGCCCCTGTTCCACGGAGAAGACCCCCAGGGGTGGGTGTTTAGAGCCGACCGATACTTTGCCGTGAACGACGTGGAGGATGAAGAAAAGGTGGTGGTAGCTTCTGTGTGTATGGAGGGAAAAGCCTTAGGCTGGTTTCAGTGGGCGGATGCGCAGGATCCGTTCAGATCGTGGTGAGAACTCAGAGCGGCTGTGCTACGGCAGTTTGGACGTGCGCGAGAAGTGGATCCGGTGGAGCAATTGATGGCGTTGCAGCAGCGAGCCACGGTGGCGGACTACCGAGATGAATTCGAGACGATAGCAGCTCAAATGCCAGGGATCCCCGATGCCATATTCAAGGGCGCTTTCCTCCATGGGCTGAGGGAGGACATACGGGCCGAGCTGAAGTTGCACAGGCCCAATGGGCTCCACGAGTTGATGGATCTAGCCCAACAGGTGGAAGCTCAAAATGAGGCAACGGATCGGGTCAGAAGGACCCGGATGGGTTGAGGGTACAGACTCGAATTTTTTGGACGTTTTGGAGGGTCATTGGAGGGCCCCAATCCCACCGCTTCTACCCCAGAGGGCCCCCTTCGATCCAAACCTCAGAGTGAGGCGGTGGTGGGACAAGGGACTCGGCTAGGTCAAGGAGGGGGGTTGCCACCCCGGGTCGGCGCAGCGACGGGGTATCGCCGGCTCACGGAGGAGGAGATTCAGCACCGGAGGTCGAGGGGTCTATGTTTTAAGTGTGATGAAAAATTTGGCCCGGGACATCGCTGTAGGAATCGCCAGTTGCAGGTTTTAATTCTGGCAGATGAGGAAGAATCCTCTGGTGAAGACGGGGATGACGGTCAGGGCACTCGGTCGGGGGAGGACAGAGGGTAAGAGGACGCGTTTGAGAAGGTAGACTTGTCCCTGAACTCGATGCGGGGGGTGTCATCGTCCAACACCCTGAAATTCCGGGGTCGAATCGGAGCCCGTGAGGTTGTGGTGCTTGTCAACAGCGGAGCAACTCACAGCTTCATTTCCGAGACGGTGGTGGAAGAACTGCGGCTGCTGAAGGACCCCACGGTAAGTCACAATATTGTAGTGGGTGAACGTGTGGATTCAGGGTCACTTGGTGGTAGAGGATTTCTTCTCCTTTACGTTAGGGGGTGCGGGGGTGCGGACCTGGTCCTGGGGTGTCGTGGCTGAGCACGCTGGGGGAAGTAAGGGCGGATTGGGCAAAATTCCTAATGAAGTTCAGAGTGGGGCCCACGTGGGTAATTTGGAGGGGCGACCCTAGTCTTTGCTACGCGCCTGTCAACATGAATGCCCTGGTACGGAGGTTGTCACCATAAGGGTTTGGCTTGTTGGTAGAAGTGTGTGAGTTGTCAGGGCTGGACAGAGAGGAGGAAATTAAGGAAATCCCAGAGGAGGTTTGAACAATGATTAACCAGTTTGAGAGGGTGTTTGAATCACCAACAGGGCTTCCGCCCCACCGGGGACGAGACCATCGAATTGTGTTAAAAGAGGGTGTTGACCCGCCCAATGTAAGGCCTTACCGGTTTCCACAAATTCAAAAGGGAGAAATTGAGCAGTTAGTAATGGACATGCTAACTGTAGGAAATCTCGGATGAGATATCATAGGAGGATTTTTAGGAGTTTTTCTAGTATAGGAAATTAGGGGAGATCACCGGATCCTAAAGGGGCTGATCTGTTTGGATACTTTCCTGATTTTGTGTAACAGAAAGTGTCTATAAATAAAGGGTAGAATAGCTTGTAATTATTCATTCATTCATAATAGAAATTCTTTCATTATTCTACATGGTATCAGAGCCGTAAGGCTAGGGTTTCTGGAGAAAAAAAATTAGGGCAGCCTTAATCGCTGGTTTCGGACTGGTTTATTTCTTTCTCTCCCAGCCTTAATCGCTGGTTCATTCCTTTCTCTCCCAGCCTTAATTGCTGGTAGTTCATCAGCCTTAATCGCTGATTTAGCTCTCCTTATTTTTTTTTCTGTCCAATCATATCCAATCATGACGGATACCACCTCTTCGGCTCAATCACCTTCGATAGTTGAGAATGAACAGGCAGCACGGAGCACAACAGAACTTCAGAATATCCAGGCAGCCTACAGATTAAATGGAAAAAATTATTTGAAGTGGTCTCAATTGGTTCGAACTTTTTTGAAAGGAAAAGGAAAGTGAAGAATTTCTGAACTTCTATTATTAATAATTCTGTAACCCTACAATAGCATATATATACACAAATGACTAATAAGGGAAAAACTAACTAGCTTGATTCTCTCCTAAAAAACAGGAAACAAAATTATGAGAAAAGATCACAACCGATCTCTCCTTTTATTCCTAAAATACTTTCCTAAACTAACTTCCCTAACTTTTGACTTCCGAATTCAACAGAAAGCTAGGCCATTTACTGGTGCAGGGACCGGAAGGAGGAGCCACAGGTGCAAACGCATGGGAGGAAGAAGATTCAATGATTATGTCATGGCTACGGAATTCCATGAACCCGGAGATTAGTGACACTTGCATGTTCTTGCCAACAGCAAAGTCATTCTGGGATGCTCTCTACCAAACCTATTCAAAGGTTAATGATGCAGCTCTCATATATGATATCAAGACAAAGACAACAGGTGCAAAACAAGGGTCGAAAACTGTGACAGAGTACTCCAATGCACTACAAAATCAGTGGCAAGAACTAGACTACTATAGGACAATTGATCTGAATTGCAGCAAGTGTGCAGTAGCCATCAAAAAATTCATAGAACGAGACCGGGTATATGATTTTTTGGCTGGCTTAAATTATGAGTTTGATCTTATACGTATTCAAATTTTGGGCAGGCCTGAAGTATCATTCTTGACTGAAACAATCTCCCTGGTCCGTGCGGAGGAGAGTCGCAAAGGCATCATGCTCGATCCACCTTCAACAGAAAATTCTGCCCTTCTAAGCTCCAAGTCACAAGG